CGCTAATTTAAATATCATCTTTAATGATTTACCTTAAGAATAATTTGATATTTGCAGCACTGTGTACGACTGTTTGAGCTAACTCCTCCCCAACCCCTCCAAAAAAACACCTCCACTTTTTTTGAAAAGTGTCTATAAAAGACAAAGTATTCATATTTTTAATGGAAAAGAGTAATTGGTTAAAATATTTTGCATTTCCGGGTACAAAAAGCCTGGTTAAGCCTTAATTGGTGGTTTTTAATTCCTGTATTTGTGTGTGTGTCTGTGGGTGTTTTGTCTTTTCACTGCTTTGACATTTTACAACCAGCCACCACATTGATCCGGTGCAGAAAATGAGTGTAAAACTGTGAAATATCAGCTAGTAGAACTGAAGGTTTATGTTACATTTAAAAGTTTTTATTAGATTTTCAGGCTTTCAACCCTTTTTATTTGCAAATTTCTCCTTTTTCAATCATGTTTTGACATTTTCTCCTTATATGACTCTTTGGTCGCAAATGTTTGATACTTTTATATGCACAACAATTTATATCTAAGTTGCAAATATGTATTTTAATCCATTTAATAAATATTAAACCTTAATCTTGACAAATATATATATTTTTACCTACAGAGTTTTAGGTTCAACCTGTTAATTTAATCTAGGCGTTAAAATCATGACTCGCTCTGTGTGCACAGATCAGGTTTCATTTATCCATGAATCCAGTTACATTTCCACTCAAATGTTCCTCATCCTGCCCGAAACTCAACCACATGCTCTTAAATTCACTCTTTCCATTAAATATTTGCCTTGTGGAAGCGGTTTCATAAAATAACTCATGGCTACACATCTGTAAAACATAATCCTGTGCTTCTTTTGTTGATTTTTAAACTCATGAATGCAGTTTTTTTTCCCCCTGCATAAACATAAATACAAGGTTTTAGATGAGCTGCTGATTGTGGTTGGCTTGTTTTTGTTTTCCTTCTGGGAGAATAATCGGTGCAGATGGGGCCACAGGCTCAGGCAACGGCGGATCAAACAACAATTAGGTCAATTTGAATCTTTTATTGATGCCACAATTTCTTTTTTTATTGAAAACAAGCCTCAGTCTTGCCAATCAGTTTTGTAGAGTTTATGTGATTTATTTATTGCTTTTATTGGGCTACATTCTCTCAGTATTTCCAACTCAAACGCTTATTTGAGATGAAAGTTTCTACACAGAAATACTTTTTTGACTTAATCTTGTGATTTTCCTGTTTTTAAACTCCCCACATCTTGCTGGTCTTAGCAACATGTTTTTATTCTTCCTGTTTTGAAAGCATTTTTGCTTCCAAAAGCGTGCTGCATTCAGGTACAGCTGGGCCATTCGGCTGTCGAAACGTCAAAACAACAACAAAGTTCTTTTTCACAAATATAAGCAGTCTTATTTAAAAATATCTAAACATTAACATTGACTGTTTCCAGGTTGTACAATCTACCTGTGCCTGCTTATACTTTAATTTATTGAAAAACAATAAATTAGACTCTCCGTTTAATTAAGTTTTAGTAAATTTAATTTCAGAAATTAAAAAAAGAAGTTTGCTGCTGGTTGATGTGAAATAAATGACATATTTTCTATTTTCTTTATAGAAGCTTCCTGAAAACATACCAAACCGTGATTTTGTGTAATGTTGCACCTTGAATATTCACAAATAATCACAAATTATACATAATCTGAAACCTCAACCCACCTGAGAAGTTTTGCCTCCTTAGTGATTTCTTTAATTTATTGTTTTTAAGTTGAATCTTTGCAACCAAATTAATTTGAATATCAGAAAATATATTACCTGGATAAAAATAACAACGGCTGTAAATTATGCAGTTTTTGAACCTTTCGGCACATGTAGAAACTATTCTCTCTGAATTTACATCTGAGCTGTTAGACACATTTAACTTATGAAATGTGGTATTTTTTCACTTGTCTGGTTTGTTTTTGTTTGTTTTTCAGCAACTGTACATGGAAGGCTGCAAATATGAACTCAGAAATATTTAAATATGAGAATGATTACTATTCTGGATAGAGTTTTCATAGAGGCAAGAAAAAATATGCAAAAGGGTACCTTTCTGTCAAATGGGGTGATTAAGAAAAACATCTGAGATAATTTGTTTTAGAAGAGGAGAAAAGGCTGAAATACAGCATTGTAAAGTTAAGAAAGTCAGCATCAATAAAGACAAAAAACTAATGCAAATGATTAAATAGACATAGATCAAATTTTGTGCAAAGAAGCACTTTTACAGAATATTAATGCGCAAAAGAAAGGATGCTAACTTCAAATATAATTCATAAACAAATATAAGGTCCTAAATTTGGTGCCAGTTTTATTTTTGCTTCCTCTTTTTGTGTGATGAGATGATTAACCTGGTGTGTGTTTGGAGCAGTCCAACTCGAAGGTTCTGGTGTTTTATCACCACAGCCAACTCTTCTTTGTTCTGATCTAATTTTCTGCGTTTGTTTTGCTCCGTTCTGCAGCTTGCCTCTTCAGGTACAATGTCCTGTCCCTCGTCTACCTCATCTATCTCCTGCTTCTTCCGCTCTTTCCAGAGCCGACAAGCACAACAATGCAAGGTAAGATCTGCTTTTCATTTCTGCTTCAGGCTTCCAGGTTTTCACAGAGTTTCTAAAGGTGACCTGTTATGCTTCCTTGAACAGGTATGAATAGATCTAATCAGCTTCTACGCTTCACAAATCTGGAATAAAAGTCCAGAAAACTGCAAAACAGCTGAAACACTGAGTTCCTTTAGATTGAGAAAAAAACCCCCACCTGTTTAAAGTTGCTTTCTACCCACAATTACTGGAAGATTGACCAAAATATTTTATGTGTATTGATGATTTTGATCATTGATAAAATATGTTTGTTATTGCTTTCTTAATTGATGGCACTATTATGTTTTTATGACTTTTAACTTTTGTGTTTCTATAACAAACTTTGAACTGCCTTGTTGCTGAAATGCTGTATACAAACAAACTTAACTTGACTTATGGTCGATACAAAACATTTTAGTTGCATTTTTTTTGCACAAAATCATTCTTAGATAATCAGATTTAAGTACGGTCTGTTCTTTCAGCGTTTTTAGGGCCCTTTGTCACTTTAAATCCAAATAAGCTGCGACTCCACCTTGGTTGCTAGGTGACAGTCGGAGTTCTGCTGGGGTTGCTAGGTAACGGCATTGCGCATCTTGAATGTTATTTAACAATCTGAATTATTTTCAAGCATCTTATTTCCCACACACCAAGAAACATGTACTGTCAAAAAAACAAATGTGTGGGTTATTGTTTTCGAAGCAGTTGAGACCCAAAATGGAAGAATAAAAACTTTCAAAAGGTGAATTTTGCATAATAGGTCCCTTTAAATGTTTAGGTTTGGTTTGAATGTTGTCCTCTGTAACGCGAACCAGCCCTTTCCTGCAGGAGACGTGAATTTCCCTGTGATGAGGTTGGATTTGGCACACGGTTTAGCCCCGTGAAATGTAATATTAGTGAGTCCAGGCACGAGTCCATCTGTAATAACAAAAACGATCCGCTGTCAGGCAGATCTCAGATAAAACGCTTCGATCCAACAGCTCAAGATCTGAAGTCTGCTTGATGAAAACGGACTCTTCAGGCTCTCTCCTTCTTCTGTTTAGTTTTATTTAGCAAATCCAATAAATGTGTACATTTAAAGATCACAATTAGTTAATTCAGTCCATGTGAAGGGTTGATCTTAAACTTTTTGGTCTTTAAAGCTGCTACATCAACGTTTCAGGGCTGGAGGTATTCATCGGCTGCAGAAGTATGAATCACAATGGACTCCTGCGGTTTTTGAGAAGTGACTGAGGTGACTGTTCTCCTCACAGATGATAAATGTGGGATTGCAGCCACTGGACCTCCACCGCAAAATACTAAACAGCACACCTCCCAGACCTCCACAGCAATAACACGGGTTTCTGGAGGAGACCGCATGCAGTGTTTAATAATACATAAAACCATATTGGCGGAGGAGGAGGGAGCAGCATCCAGTCCGAGGTTCGTCTCCGCGTCTCCAGCTGAAATAACAGGCAGGAAGTAAAGGGAGGAAGAGAAATGAGAGAAAGTGGACCACTTACAACCTCATCAATAGTTAAAGAGAAAAGGCTTCTAGTAAAGCTGGATGCTCACCTGTCTAATAGCTGTTGACTTCAAGAATAGCTGAACATAAACATCAGTAGTCATATAGTCAGTTTATAGTAATTTTGTTTGTTTTGTTTTTGTTTTTTTAGAAAAGAATAAATCATTTTATTGTCCCACAATTGGGGGAAATTAAGATGTAACAGCAGCAAGGAATTTAGGTTTACGCACAGATAAAAAACTGTTAAAAGTATATAAATATACACAGACATATATGCAGCTCTGTAAAAAATTAAGAGCCCGCTGCACTGAACTCCCTTGAAAATCTCCTAGTTCTTCCACCAAATATCGATGTCTGAACTCTACCTGAGTTAAAAGATTAGTATTGTTGTTTCTAAATCAATATGAACTTTTCTTTGCATTATTTGATGTCTGAAAGCTCTGCTTCTTTTCCGTTATTTTGACCATTTCTCATTTTCTGCAAATAAATGCTGAATTTTTACTTGGAATTTCAGAGATGTGTTGACAGTAGTTCATAGAATAAAAGAACAATGTTCATTTTACTCAAACATATGCATATAAAGAGTAAAATCAAAGAAACTGATCATTTTAAGTGGCCTCCTAAGTTTCCCAGAGCTTTATGCATGTATAGTGTAACCCAGGGGTCCCCAAACTTTTTCCTGTGAGGGCCACATAACGTTTCCCTTCTCTGGTGGGGGGCCGGAGTCAGTTTGTAACAGAAAAAGTGTGACGATTGAAGGAGTGCCTAAATGTAAAAATTTATTGTTTCCCAGAAAGCACAATCAAATAACATTCTCTGGGTTCTTCACAGAACAAAAGTCAGGAAATAAATAATAACACTATTAATTAAATAAATAACACTATTAATAAAATAAATAATAACCAAATAACCCTCTCTGGGTTCTTCACAGAAAAAAAGTGCATTTAACATAAACTTTCTGTTGTGCTGTGCACAATCATAACAGGTCCAAGTTCAGCTTAGTTGTCAGAGCAGAATCTCTTACTTAAATGGCTCATATGAGCAGGCTCTCAAAGTTCCTGTGTTCCTTCCTTATAATCCTTTTGTAGGTTCCAGCAGGCTTGTAGACATCGCTATTTGCAGCTCTCTCTCTCATCAACTTCCCTGTGAAAACCACAAAGCAAGTGGGCTGAGATGCAGCACCTACAAAGCACAACCAATACCACTACCAGTATGGTTGTGGAGATGGATTTTATCCCAGTAGATTTTATTATGATTATATTTTTTATAGTCAGAATGACTAATTCAAGTCAGAAAAGTGAGCTTACCTTTGTATGTTCATCAGTGTGAACTATGGGTCTGCATCTGGCTGGTGAGAAGTTGAATGTCAGGTTCCATTCCAGTCACTGCCAGTCTCAAACACTGATGCAGATGTTCATCTGTCAATCTTGATCTTGTTGGAGATTTCAGCAGTTTCATGCGTGAAAAGGTTTGCTCGCAGATATAGGTGCTGCCAAAAAGTGTGGACATCTTCATTGCGTGTTTTCTGATGTTAGGGTACGTGTCGTTTGGGAGGGCGGCATAGAAGTCAATGAGACTGTTGGGCTTGAACGCGTCTTTCAGAACATCACAGTTCTGTAACTCGGCCAACTCAAACTGATAAGAAGGCGGGGCTTCATCAATGTCGGCAACAAAGGGGTTCTGGAAAAGACGGATTTCTTTTGCATAAACATGTAGTTCACGGAATCGCACACTGAACTCCGCCTTCAGCATTTTCAGTGCTTCCACACACTTTTCAACTGGAAACGGGACCGCTGGGTTCTCTGCAGAGAAGTTTTGTGTAGCAGGGAGATGGACGAAGCTGTGCTTTTTCACTTGTCCCAAAAGCAGCTCTAGTTTCACCTCAAATGCTTTTATGTGGGAATACATTTCGCAAATGAGTTTCCCCTGGCCTTGTAGCTGCAAGTTAAAGCTGTTCAGCATTTCTGTTATGTCTGTTAAAAATGCGAGGTGCCATTTCCATTCTGGGTCGATCAGCTCTGGCACCGTTTTGTTTTGTGAATTAAGAAATGCGTTAATTTTAGGTAGCAGCTCGTAAAAACGCCTCAAAACTCTGCCCCGGCTCAGCCATCGGACCTCGGTGTAGTACAGCACATCTCCGTGCGCAGAATCCAGTTCAGACAGGAATTCTTGGAACTGCCTGTGTTTAAGTCCTTTTGCTCTGATAAAGTTTATGCATGATACCACAACTTTCATGACAGAATCCCACGTCAACACTTTGCAGCACAGTGCTTGCTGGTGAATTAGGCAGTGGATTTGTAGCGGGGCGGTGAGACCTCGTTCTTTCATCTCCCGGTTCATGCGTCCTATTAGACCCCGAGACATCCCCACCATACTAGGAGCCCCGTCAGTTGTGATGCTAGCCAGCTTTGACCAGTCCAGGTCCAACTCTTCCATGGTTTGGTACACTTTGCCGAAAATATCCTCCCCAGTTGTAGTCCCTTTGAGACTTTGGAGGGCTGCCAGCTCCTCACACATCTCAAAGTTTGCACTAACTCCACGAATAAAAATGAGCAGCTGCACGGTGTCCTGCACGTCCGTGCTCTCATCCAGTGCTAATGAAAAAAATTCAAATTCCTTCGTCTTCTGCTGCAGCTGAGCATGTATATTACCTCCGATTTCTTCAATGCGTCTGGTGATTGTACTTGCTGATAGACTCACAACATTAAATGCATCTTTCTTCTCGGGACACACTTCCTCCACGACAGCGTTCATGCATTTCTTGACAAACTCTCCATCAGTAAAAGGTTTACCGCTGCTTGCTATCAGTTGAGCAACCCGAAAGCTGGCCCTAACAGATGACTGGTTCAGCTGAGCTTGGCGTACAAATGCATTCTGCTGAGTTAACAGTCCAGTTTTTAGCTTTGAGAGTTTGTCTGCTCGCATTTGGCCTTGCAAGCTATCATACTTGTCTTTGTGACGGGATTCGTAATGTCGCCGCAGATTATATTCTTTGAATACCGCCACCGCTTCTTGACAGATGAGACAGACAGCCTTTTCTTTGCATTGAAAAAAGAAATAATCGTTTGTCCACTGCAGCTTAAATGCCCTGCATTCTGAATCAATTTTTCTCTTACCTAATCTTTTCGCCATTATTCCGTTCTCTCTTTGAGAGGGGCGGGTTTAGGAATTTTTTTTTCTGGGGGTTGCCAGGTAGGGGCGCAGACCGCAGAAGGTTGGAACAGAATGTCACGTTATATGCGTGTATTAAATAGTTACCAACTAAAGCTGTTGGTAACAGCTTTCGTTGTTACTAGCATGTTCCTTAATTTATAACTAAGGAACATTTTATTGCAAAAGTCCAACTTTATTATCAAATACAAATACACATATATGAAAAAAAAAATCTCTCTGGAATTGTTCTGGGGGCCGGACCAAATGCGGAGGCGGGCCGGATCCGGCCCGCGGGCCGTAGTTTGGGGACCCCTGTCCTACACCTTCACCAGCTCAGATAATGCCACCAGCTCCACCACTTTGACAGTCTCCTCCTGTCGCCCGTGCAATGCATCCAGGTCCTCCAGCAACAAACCGCCATCAATTGGGAA